CCCACCCCCATGTAGTCCCCCTCCCAGTGCTGCCACCTCCCACCCTGAATGCAGCCCCGGCCAGGAAGCACCTGGCACCGCCTCGGCCACAGCCCACAGCTGCAGCCGCCCCACCCAGATCCAGGCGGTGCATACTCCCTGTGCCTGTTGGGGTGCACGCAGCAGCAGGGGCCACCGCACCCCTCCCCACGCCCCCCAGATGAGCCATGGCTCTGTCCTGCAACCTGCCCCGGCTGGGCAGTGCCTGCCGCAGCCCCACACCTCCCTCACCGCAGGGGCCTTGATCTGCTCCACCCACGCCCCTTCCCTCCTTTCACCACAACAGACTTACCGGCTGCATGCAGATCTTTCTTGCTGCCAGGCTGCTTATTGGAAATCAGATTGGTATTGGCTGATATGCCTCCTTAAAAATTAGCTATCAGTACCGCCCCGCCCAAATCTTATTGGTGCACCCCTAATCAAAGCATGTCCTTTAAATCAGCAATTTGTAAACTGCATCCCCACTGACCGCAGCAGCAATCTGTGGAAACAATTACTGGTAGCTTGCAGAGTGCTGGCTAGTTCATTTTTCCTAGCTGAGAAAAACAACAGTTGGGAGGTGATGATGAATTAAAGGGGTAATACACAGTGAAGTTTCTCCCCATCCTTGAAGAAAACTCATCCCTTACTACACAAATACCTGTCCAATATCACTTCACTGTATGAAAACTGGAGTCACCACGGAGGTGTCATATGATTGCAAATGAGAAGAGAGATGCCTTAAAGACAGGGATCTCTATTACTATTTTGTCCACACTGACTTGGCATGCCCTGATTTTTTTGTTTTTAATGTCCTTATTTCATTTTTTTTCCCACCCTATTAATCAGGTTCGATTTTGCTAATTGCCCACAGAGGACAACAGTGAAACTACTATATTACAATGCTGTATAAGGGACAGATTAGCAGAGAGTTTTTCACTGTGAACTCTTTTCATTTTAATAATTTTAGATATTATTAGTATTTATAATTTATTAGTAATAATTTTCAATTAATTTTGTCCATTTACAAACATTCACAGGAGGGTCCAGACCTTCATCTTCCACTTTTAATAATAAAGTTGACCAATTTTGCTCAATTCACTATCACTTTTTAATATTTCGGTCAACCACATTAATGATGGTTAATAGTCACATTAATGATGGTTAACAGTCAGGGCTAAAACCATTTCTTAAGAAATTAATAAAATGGTAACATTAAAAACATGCAACATGTTTACGACATGACAAAAAGATTTCTAGGGATCTCTAGAAGGCTTATTAAATGCTGATTTAATACTAACTAGCGTTGATTATTTTAGTTGACATCTTGTGATCATTAATCTCCATCCTACTCCAATTCTTCACCTGCTTTTCATTCAATGAATTATACAGAGCTCTTGCCTGTGGCAGCAACCTGCACTTGATGATATGATTTATATTTAGGAAGCTCCTTCCAGACCAATGTTGCCATGTTACTTGGTCTCAACATGCAACACAGACACAGTACCAACACCCCAGTGACAATACAAGCCTACCTGAAGCAAGCTGTGATAACAGACAGGTACAACTTTGTGAACAAACCAGTACCCCTCTTTTCAGTTTCCTTACTTGGAACAAAGATACTTAGCAAAAATAAAATTGCCCCGGCTGGGCCAGAAACTGGAAAGCAAACTATGTTTTGTTTTATTTTAAATAGGATGATTTTTTTCTAGCTGGGCTGAATTTTCTTATGACATAACCCTAGCACTTCAATGATTAAATCAACTAGATGGTTTTACCTGATCTAAAAAAAAAAGTTTACTTTTTCACAAAGCTGTGTTGAGGTTGCTCATAGAGTCAAACAGTGTTAGGGTTTTATTACTCACTTGAAAAGGTATTGCTTCATCTTCTGTAGGCATCATATTCATTAGAAACACAAAGAACCGTGCACAGCAGCTGTGAGCAGAAAGGGGAACTGGGAGGCCAGGTTTCTGGAGTCGAACTAACTCCTGGCTTTGGGCCAGTAGAAGCTACTCAGAAAATAGAAGTGCTGAACGCAGCTCGTTGCAAAAACTCAGGCCCCGAGGCAAGCAAGAGGCTATAAGCCCTCTTGTCAAGAATAGGAAAATAAATATGGGAGTAAACACTGATTAACTGTCAGTGCTGTAGTAATTTGAACACAGCAAAATTACAGAGCACACTCGTATGAGTAAGAGGCAGGAAAGCAACTCCTAGAAGATGCAAGTTAACAACAAAAAAATCACTGCCCAACACATCTTGCCGCCAAGAAATTTCTCCTGATATTCATTCCAGCTTTATCATACATTTCATTCATTTTTTCCCAGCTCGTGTCCCCGTGTATTGCATTACATGGTCACTCTCCTTGCTTATTACTCACTCCTCAAACATCTGCTGTTATAGACCCTCCAACTTAGCTGTCGCGCAGCCAAGATAAAGATGTTTAGCATATCTGTTCAATCATTTCTTCCATTATTCTTTTTGGAACTTTCTTTGATTTGTCAAAATATATATATATATATATATATATATATATTTTTTACTAATGTGACAGTCACAACCTAATAATATTCCAGGTGCAAATACACCAGAGCATTTTCACTTTGAGAGAAATTATCACCTTTCTCTGCCCTGGGATATTATGCCAATAAGCCCTATGGGCTTGTCTTCAATTAAACCACATTATTAGATCTCCCGCATGGAGCTCTTTATCCATAGAACGTGGCTATTTTGGATTATTTTTTAGCCACGTAGCTTATATACATCTACCTTATATTTCATTGTTATCCCCAGGATGACTTATCAATGTGGGTCTACCTAACTCGAAGAGGTGGCCAGCCAGGAGATCACAGGGCCAGCCTCCACATTCAGCTGATCATGGCAAATTTTTCCACCTCCCCACCACGCCTCTGGCCAAGGGGCCATGGTGGCCCTACCCATCACCACTGACTGGTTGCGAGGGCTGTCCATCATGCAGACCTGCCCCTATTGGTTCTGAGGGGTGGGTCCACATGACAGGCAGCCCTCTCAACCAATCAGCAGTGAGGGGTGGCAGGCATCTTGGGCTGCCCTTTGTGCAGGCAGTCCCCTCTCCCTACCCCACCCCAGCGGGCTGCATAGGCGGGCCAGTGTCACAAGACTGCTGGCTCCCTCTGGGGAGCCAGCACTTTATTTTCAGTAAGTTGTTTTTTCTTTTTTCTCGTGGATTTTGCGGGCAATGCTGGATTTTGTGATTTCCATGAAATCCATGAAATTACGATTTCAGTAGGTCCCTACTTATCAAGAGGGAGATATTTAGACTAATATGTATATATTTAGTTTGTAATGTCCACTTCAATATATACTGGTTATTAGAAGGTAGCCCTTTTAGGCAACTTAGTATCATTTGCAGCATGATTCCAAGCAACTCGTCAATAACATGAAAAACTTGAATTTTCACGAAGACAAGTTTCATGGTGGACAAAATTGAACAGTGAGCCAGAAGCATGTAGCCAATAATTTAATATTTACCCTGCTTAGGAATGCAGTAGCACTTAGTGTATTAACATACACAGAATATTAGTGAGGCTTTTTGTATACTTAGTTGGGTAACTGTTCACTTCCACATTCCGTTTACATATATAATATAAATACATTTACTGACCTGGGGAATGCTGGGAAGTTGCAAGTGAGGTCATGGAATTAGAGAGGTTAAGGTTAGCAGTAATACTAAGCTGGCTCTGCACTGCAGGAGGATATGGAGATGTAGGGGTCAACAGGGATTCCTCGCTGACTTCCTCATCAATTCCAGGCAAATAGGTGTCAATCAAGGCATCAAGAAACTTCACTATAAGCTCAGCATAGTCTGGGATTTGTGTTTGCTGTGGGGAAAAAAAAAAATAGATCTGTTCACTCTATTTTCCACTTTTAAAAAATAAGAATTTTGCCTTTAAATATTTTTTTGGGCTAAACTTTTGTCTATAAAATACTTTTAAGCCCTTTATGGGGACGCCTGTGAGGACACACTTGGAAATTAACCTGGAACTAAACTAATGTAAACACTACAGGTGACCTGCAGGAACAATCTGAGCAGGATGAAATACTTCATTGGCAGGTGGTGAGCAGTAGTTTTGAAATGTCCTTTTCAAGATGAACCGCTGGGGCTAACTCTGAAGAACGAATTATGAAAATCATTACCTGTACCTTTGAGCCTAACATCCAGAACACTACCCAAGCTAGACATCTTGTTACACTGATTTGATAGAACAAACTGTGGTATGGATGGTCATAAAAATCAACATGATTTTTTTACACTTATAGTGCCTTGTACAAAAAATAAAAGCAAGATGCTCAGGATCTCACCTCTCATTCTTACCTTAGAAAATGGTCCAGCAAACCTCCACAACCCGTTAAATCCAAAACCTGTGACAACAAATAATATTACCACTGCAGCACAAGCCTTTCACACACACACACACACGTGTGCACGTGCATGTGTGTCTGCACATATGCACATGTAAGCAAATCCAAGTGATTGATTCGAATATTTCCAAATGTTTGTTTCTTATGAAGTGTTCGTGTGTACACACACACACACACACACACTCTCTCTCTCTCTCTTTCCATAAGAAACAAAAATTAGGAAATATATGGAATCAATCACTTGCTTACACGTTGACATAAAATACCGTGAGGCAAATATAACAAAACCTTCCAAAATCTAATATCCAAATTATGTGTTTAATATCTGAACTGTAAAACTATTGTGGTTTTTTATTACATATACATTTTAAATATAAGAGATGAATCCAAAAACTCATATTTGGAAGGGGACACTGTCATGTTCAGTCTTAAGCATGAGTAACATTTGCAAAAGAGCAAGGAGACCAACCTAAACTCCATTTTCAAGAATAATGAACTTTCAGTCAGTCTGAATGATTGATAGGCTAAAGGTCAGATTTAAAAAGGAGTTTAGGCACAAAGAGCCTCAAGTCACCCTCGATCATAGAAATATGGAGGCTCTTTAAAATGATGACTTTAAAATACATTTTGATCCAGTAGATTACTGGGTTTCAATAAATTTTTAGCTCATTTCACTTACTGTTCATACATGTGGCTAGCCCAATACTCTTAACATTGACAGGCAAATACAGCAAGTCATTTTTTAGTTTAACCCTTTAACAGTTAACATGTTAAAGTTAACATGTTTAAACAACTGACTACATTTTTGGTAACTATCTGTAAAATGAAGGAAAAAACATCTAATGATTCTGGGTCTAACTGTTCTGCTAAGGCAGTAGTAGTCTTCAACCAGTTGTATTTGTAAAAGAAAAATACCAGCTACCTTTCTGACATGTAAGTACAGAGGAGTTTCAAAAAGAAAAAGAAAAAGTAGAACAATATTTACTTTGTAGGTAAGAAGTTTGGTATTGAGGTGGAGACTCTTCGTGGTAGACAACACTCTGAACTATCCCATGAATTGGATTCAACAAATTTGGATCTTGGCACAGCGACAAAAGAGTATTGATCTTGGAGTCCAATAAATTGTGCCTAAAGAAAACAGCAGTGTTTGAATGTTGCTTATCAAACTGAAGTTAGATAACCTAGATAGACTAGGTTCATTTAACAAAACTATTGTGGTGGGATTTTCAAAAGTGCCCAAGTGATGGAGGGGGTAGAGTACCATTCCTAGGGCTTTCCCTGAAATTTGCTCCCTTAAGTCATGCAGGCATTTCTGAAAATCCTGGTCATAGACAACAAACCATGTAACCCTTTTTTCTTTAATTAGCATTTAACAAATTATTTTAAAACGCAGAAAAGCAAATATTTGAACTTCAACTGAAAAATGTTGATCAAATGAATGACCCAAACTGCAGGCTTTGAGGCTGCGATTTTCAAAGGAGCTTCAGAGATGCTGGCTCCTCTGTCTCAAGCTCCACAAAAAATGCCAACTTTAACATACCTGTTGTGTATCTCATACAATAACATGTCTTACATCTTTAGTGACAGTAAAGTTAGCATATGTGCATATCATAGAGGATGGAAAAACTAGTGCTGGAAACTCCACTCTGTGATTCATCCACAAAAGAACTATTGCTGCCCAGGTTTGAGTACAAGGAGTGAAGCTTTCCCCACTTCAACCCTTTCAGAGCCTGGAGGGATTCCCACTACCGGGTAGGGAACAATTTACTCCATCCTTACTTCTGACAGTACTGGGTGCTGATTGCTGACAGCAGTGATTTCCCCAACTTGGAAAACTCATTTGCCTTCAACCTTTCTCGTGAAACTCACACACAGGCAGATGTAATGTCCTTTCTAGAATATGCACAGTTAAACTGAGAAAACAGACTCGCGTTACATTGGTTCTCCTAAACATCACTGGTTCCACACAGACAATACTAGGCTCAACTCATCAAATACACTAAGCAAACACTCTGTATGCATAACTAAATAGAAGGAACTAAACTTGGGCCATATTCTAAATATCTGTTTTGACAGGTGACTTAGACACCTGAAAATATTGTTTACTTGCTGGGCGGGGAAAAAAAAGAAATCACTTAAGCAGTCAAGTATAATGCTTTATTTTGTAATAACTAACTAATGCAGAGGCCAGCAACCCCCAGCACATTTGCCAGTGAGGCACACAAAGGCATTTTGCTTGGCACATGCTCTCAGGGCGTACGGTGGGCAAGGGGTCAGAACTGTGCTGCCACAACAAGTATCAGGTTCCTCGCAGCTCCACAATGGCCCGCCTGGAGGCATGTATGCACCCACAGTCAGCAATGAGTCAGGCCGGGGCTCCGCAGACCTCAGTGCAGCTGCTTGCAGCCTCCTAGCTGCTTGCCACAGCCAGCCTGAGCTCTGAGCAGGCCCCTGCTGCTCGGCACAGAGCCTGGGCTGCTCACAGCAGGCAGTGGGGACACTGCAAGCTGCTGCACTGGGGGCTGCAGAGCCCTCGCCCAGCTCATTGGTGGCAGCGGGTGCATGGACACCTCGGGGCAGATGGCAGGGAAGGAGCCAGAGCTGTGCTACCACAACAAGGATCAGGCCCCTTGGCTGCTCCACCATCTGCCCCTGGCACACCAACATCTTACAAGTCAAGGTTGGGGTGTTTTTGGCACTCTGCCCAAAAATGCTGCAGACCCCTGGACTAATGCATTGTGCCTATGTAAACATAAGCCCTGAAACTTAAATGAAAATGGACACTTCTTAGGTAGCAAATACAGATAATTTAGCAGCTCGGTTGTCTCTAATAGCTGCAATGAATGCTGGAAGCTTGGGGTAAAGTCTGGAAGAGACTAAGAGCCTATTAACTCAAATGGCAAACTGTGAGGTATGGTCAGCATCAACGCACGTGTCTCCAATACTGTGAAAAAGTGACTCCTGTGAAAGACTGCAACATGATAATTCAAGTTCCCTGGCCTTTGTTTCCACAGAGAGACCAGTCACCAAAACTGCTTATTAGTACCAGTGGCACCAGCTATTTACAACTCGAAAAATACTTTTCTGATAAGAATACTACAACACATGGATCACTAATAGGCATCAGCCTTCAGCACAGGTGTTGACTGGATTTGAACTTGGCTGCTAGACGTGAAAAATGTTATAATAAATCAAGTTTTAGATACTTACACAACGGGAAAGACCTTTGGGAAGACAACACTGGCTTCTGCTAAATACTCATAAAGAATTCGCTGGTCAAATTCGTCTGTAGTGTACTTTACTAAGGTTGCCTGCAATAACACAAAGGGGGGGGTGAAGAAAAAAAAGAAAAAACACAATCAGAAAGCTTCTATTCATAGTTAATTTTTAAAAGAAAGTTTCCAAATGTTACAGCACTTTTTCATTAATAGCATTTGACTGCTGACAATGCTACAATAGATGATCACACAGATATTTGACCCGGGGGTCAAATTATTCTGTGTGTATGACTATGTATGCAAAACAAGCAGAGCTTGCCATAATTATACACCTGTTCTCCTGAAAACAAGTGAACAGTTTACCTCATTTAGAGACAACTCTGACAAATATTGTTGAACTAATTTTAAAAAATGAGATTTATTAAACTTGCAAGAGTTTCAGTGAGATAAAACATTTTAAGCAAACATCTTGGAGAGGCCCTCCATAATTAGGTTCTGTACATGGAAAATTATGAATATTGTTATAATTTGCCATGCACGTAATCTAATTATTAGGAGGGACATTTGAAATGTGTCCCCACTGCCCACCACTGTGGCAGGGAAAGCGGTGGCAGTGGAGCAAGTGGTGAACACTGACATTAAGCTCAGACAAGTTTAAAACCCAATTTGATCAAATTCCAGCAACTTTTGTTCCTAAACTTTTTTATTTAAATAAGACACCCATTCTAGTTCCTTATTATTAGAATCACAATTTCTTTTGTGATTCTCATGTTCTGTAAGTCAAGCAATGGTAGGACACTGCAAAAAGATGCATGCACATAAACAATGAATACTATATCTTCCCCAATCCAAGACTAGGTTTTTCCCCCCATTCAACATGGGTAGGAGGGGAGGGGGAGAAGAGAAGAGCGTCTCATCTTGGATTTGAGCACCAGAAAACAGCTGCTGCAGCTCTGGCTCCAGCCCCAACCCAGATATGAAGCCACAACTGCAGCCGTCCGAAGCAAGGGCTGGCGCTGCTATCGCCGCTTCTGCTCAACTGGGGCCACCACCACTGCTGGATCGGGGCCAGTGTGCGTTACACATGTCCTGGACTGCAGCCTGAGAGACCGCATACGGTCAGCAGCAAGAGGAGGGAGAACACAGCA